GAATGCGTACTTTAATTTTTCTAACACCAGCTAACTAACGACTCATCTTACTCGTGACACACAACGTCATATAACGTGATATTCATATACGTTACATAATTACCTTTACATCCTCGCAATTCCATTGACTGATGCCAAATTCCAAATAAGTCATAGCTAACATTTTAAAATTTCTTTTATAATTTTAATTATTTTTTTCCAGTTAAATTTTTTCTTTATAACTTTAATTTTTTTTCCTGTTTATTCTTTAATTGTTGGTTACACAAATCCATCCGTATTTTCTCAATTGGCAAAAGTAATGATGAAGAAAATAGCCCCAAACCGAAATTAATTATTATTCCTTAAAATATAAAAAAATATTAATGCTTCTACCTGTAAATAGAATCAGTAACAATTTATTATTACATATAAATGCACAATAACTTCCATTCTTTACAGAATGGTACCAATAACTTTTATTCTTTTTTATAGAAATCTTACTGCACGTGCCACAATTTTCGCCACGCGTAAAAGTTAATTTTTAATTTTCAAATATCTACTAGCCACCTACTTTTTTTCTTATATTCTTATTTCCAACTTTCACCAATAAAAAGATTTTTCGTAAAAAATTTACTTATAAGTAAATATTTTAAACACGTTGTAAATCTTTAGGGATAAATAAGTTACCAAGTATAAAACTATTTAATATTAAAAGGGGAAATAAAAACAGCTAAATAATAATTTGGAAATATTCAGTTCCCTCATTGCTCTGTAATGTAGGAAATTAAGCCTACGTTAGGCGCATTATTTCTAGGTGTTTATGAATAGCTAGGCCACGAAATAATTTTGATTTAATTATTTTTTATCCACAAATTTTATACGATGAACAAATACTACTCATTTTTTCACTTCTCGATCATCTCTATTTATAAACATATAGTTTGACAATTTAATGTACCAAAAGTGTAAAATTACTCACAAAAGTAGGGGCGATATGGTAAATTGGTAAAATTTGGATTCGGACAAGAAATAGAGACAGCCATGTTATCGTATCACTGTCCAAACGAAAGGCTTTAATTCCCAAAAACTCGAATCAAAATGCAGATTGGGATGTAAGAAGTAGACAAGCTCGCGGTGTCTTCAAGTGTCGTGCATGCATTTCATTTTATGCACCTGTTTCCTTTGCATGCACACACGCTTTCTCTCTCTACTCCACCTCCGTCTCTCTCTCTCTCTCTCTACACATACATATCTATATGTACACTCATATCTATATCGCTGCATCCTCTGTTTAATTCTTATTTTAATTTTAAACTCTGCCAAAAGTAGAGCCACTGACCATTGCCCACCGCCGCTGTTGGTTTTTGCCTCTTCTAGATTCATTCCACCGACCGCCTCCCGTTGGTTTAGAGACTGACTTATGGGGACGTCATGTTGCATAGATTTGAACAAGGTTGAGTTTTTTTCGATGTTAATCGCTTTGGGATGTGGAATTAATTTTGTTTTTTTTTTTTTTGTGGAATTGAAATTTTGTTGAAAAAATTTGATCTGGGTTTTTGTAATAGGATTTCTTTGATGTGGTTTTAGGGTTTTGATTTTGATTTTCTGTTGAAGGTTTTACAGTGATTTTGAGTAGAAAGATTGAATTTTAAGAGAAATGGGGTCAAAGATTTGCATGAATGAGTTGTGCCTTGCAACGACGTCGTCGGAATGGAAGAAAGGTTGGGGCTTGAAATCAGGTGGATTTGCTATTCTCTGTTACAGCTGCGGGTAATTTCTGGGTCCCAATCTTACCCTTGTTCGATCAAAATTTCATCCACTACTTCTATCCGGTTGAATTCATAATGTGAAGGGTAGTTTGGGGATATGGAATTTGATCCCAAAAATAACGCACGGCAGGAGATTTTTATGTTTTATCATGGACATTTTTTGCATCCCACACTGAATATTTTCTATATTTAGGATTAGGATTATTTATTTATTATTATTATTATTTTTTTTAGCATTCCCTATTTTTCACATTTTTTTTCTCTTTTCTTTCGGGTTTTTGATTCTTTTATCGTGTACTTGTTTGAAGCTTCAATTTTATATAGGATCTTGATAAATTTGTGGCCCATTATGGTTATTTCCATTATAATCAAATTTACATTCAGGTTAATCAGCTCCATGAAGATTTTTAGGCATGGAACATCATAAATTAAAAGGTTTAAGGTTGTAGTTTGCATTTGCACAGTGCCATGATCTTCAAGTCTAACATTGGCTACATGTTGTATTACATTCTCTATTTCCGTTAAGTTTATGTTCTTCTTGAAAGAAATGGAAAATATCACATTTAAGCTTTGGTCATCCATTCTTTTACGTAATGTTAGTTGATGAGACGAGGAGGGTGTAGTGAAAATGCGCAGAAGTTAAAATGGAATTTAAGAATCCTTTTGAGTCCTTTTCTTTTCTTTTAAATCCCTTTTGTCAACCGAGAATTCCCCTTGCTGTTGACCTTTCTGCATTCTTGTATACATCAAGCTCATTTGTAACTCTATAGAGTTGAGGGTTGCTTGGGCTTCCGCCATGGATAGGCTCTCCCTGACAAACATCATGGTCCGCAAAGTGTTCATAATATTCTTGTAAGAAGCTTAATAGGACAACAACCCGGTCTTCATCGTCAACCTCCGCTTGTACATTTTTAAGATCCTAAATGCTCTTGTTAGAATCATCAGTATGGTCTGAAATGTTCTTCCTGTGCTCGATCTGAAATGCGTGCAGTCTCATTTTCAAGACCCGTCTGTTGGCCAATAATTTGGTCATTTTCAATTGCACCAACCTGTTTACGGCTGCACTCTTCCTTGGAGATTTCTCTTGCTCGTTAACTTATCAAAATCCAATTCTGAAGAATCCATGAGTCTACTTCCAAAAGCTCTAATTTGTTGTGAAAATGCTGAGAAATCGAAATGGAATCGAAGAGCCACTAACTCAAGATTGAAGACAAGAGAGCAAGCATTAAAAGCAAGAAAAACAGAAGACAAACTTTCATAAACAATGTAAAGAGATGACAATGTGAACATGTATGCATGGTCATAATAGACTGAATAAAATAAGAAATCGTTATATATGCTTAAAAGCAGAGGTGCTAACTAATTGAAGATAAATTAAGAAAAGACCGACTAAGTTGGACAGAGCTGCATGTGAAGGAGTGTGATTTGAACTTAAATTTGATTTAAGAAAAGATCAACTAAGAAGAGTTTTACATTTATCAGAAGGAAAAGAAATATATCGAAGAGGACCTCAAAACAAAAATGGAATTGGAGTTTCATTTCTATTATTCCATTGGTTCGTTTTTTATGTGGTGCAAAACCATTTAGAATATCAATTTTCCAGATATTCTTCTTGCTACTTATTTGATGTGCATTTCAGATCTGCTTATGAAAATTCAGTTTTTTGCGAGTCATTCCACCGAGAGGAATCTGGTTGGAGGGAATGCAGAGTATGTGCGAAGGTAATAATAGTTAGATGTGTACATCTATTGTTATGCATTTTTCTTTCTTCTTCTGTTTTTTTTTTTTTTTGCAATTTCTAACTTTTTTGAAATTTATTGGCAGCGCATCCACTGTGGATGCATAGCTTCAAAATTTTTACATGAATACATGGATTTTGGAGGTGTAGGGTGCATAAACTGTGCAAAGCGTATGGAAATTAATTTAATGCAATCAATGCAGGTATCTGGTTATTTGAGCTTGCAAAATGATCTGCGTTGCAATGAGAATCTTGAATCTACATATGTTTTGATTGTTTGTGCACATTACTGTCTCATTATGTATGCTAGCTTAGAGTATTTATACTATTAATCAATTAGGCATTGTTTACATCTACCACGTACGGTACTTAAATATATCCAAATTTGTTCCTGTAGATCCCTGGTGGTGCCATTCCAAATGGCATATTTGTTACAAACGGTATTGGAGATGTGCATCCAACAGCTGTCGAGAGTAGAATTAATGATGAAAATTTTAGTATGGAGAGGCTACTGCAGTTAACCAAGACTGTAGGGGCCAATGAACCTGGACAAACATTTCACTCTCATAAACGAGAAACCGTGGAAAAGAACAGACAATTTGTGAGTCGTACCCAACGATCGGGTGAATCATCTTCATATACCAAGATAGACAATTGCAGGTCTAAACAAGGGGTTAAGGATGTTTATGAATCTATTTCACAGACTCATCTAAACATCTCTTTGAGCTCTCCTTTAGGTGGCAACAGCTCCGGTTTGCCTTTTGCTGCCGGAAACGTAGAAGGAAGTGAACAGAGCAAAGGCTCATCCGCCCATGGGCAGAGGTCACACAATATTTTGCTGAAACCACCTGTATTGGTCTCTGAGCAAAACAAAGGAACTGTGCGCATTGCAAGGCCTCCTGCTGAAGGAAGGGGCCGCAATCAGTTGCTTCCTCGATACTGGCCGAGGATTACAGAGCAAGAGTTGCAGCAATTATCTGGAGAGTATCCATACTAATTTCTTCTGCATTGTCACCATGCTCTCCATTTAATTGGTTATGACATAAATTTTTTCAATTTGATGTTAGTTATTAGATATTTTTTTATTTTATATCTGCTATTTACCTTAATTGTCATCTTTTAGTTTGAAATCTCCTATCACACCGTTGTTCGAAAAGGTTCTGAGCGCTAGTGATGCTGGACGGATTGGTCGTTTGGTTCTTCCCAAAGCATGTGCTGAAGTGAGTTTTCATTTTGGCCTCAGAAATGACCCGTACAAGGATGTAGTTTTAAACTTGGCAACATACCCACTTTGTTATTTTTGCTTTTCTCCTCTTATATTATATTTTAAACTAACGTGTTCTGCAGGCGTATTTTCCTTTTATTAATCAATCAGAAGGTATACCAATTAGGATTCAGGACATAAAGGGGAATGAGTGGACATTTCAATTCCGATTTTGGCCCAATAATAACAGCCGAATGTATGTTTTAGAGGGAGTAACCCCTTGCATCCAAAGTTTGCAAGTACAAGCTGGTGACACAGGTATCCTAAAGATTTACTTTATTGTACTGAACAGTCTCTTATAATCCTGAGTCTGAAACTTTTGCTTGTTTTCTTCTCCATTTAGTTTTTGTGGTTCTATAACTGCTACTTATGATGATTTTTCTCGCTACAAACCCAGAGACTTTATTATAAATTTTCCTCTCTTATTACTGATATCAATGATAATCACTAATCTGTGACAAAACTTCCTTGTACTATTTTTAGAACATTTCTCCTCTTTTTTCCTTGACCTTTGGGTCACAATTAGTGGTTGTTTGAGACAGAGTTACATATATCCATATTTTGATGTAAATAATTAGTTCTCTCTTCACTTTGTACGGTCATTGGAGACGTATGGTAGGAATATTGTAATCTCAAGCATTTTGGTTGATGCGTATACATGCTAGTCAGTATTCGAGATAATCTGCTAAGTCTCCCATTTTCTATGTTCTGTAACCATTTGATGGAACCTAATGCCCTTCTTGACATGCATTTATTTGTCTTTTGTTAGTCACATTTAGCAAGAGAGATCCTGGGGGTCAGCTTGTCATAGGTTGTCGGAAAGCAACCACCATTTCTGATATGCAGGTAGACTTCTTAGTTATTGGTCTGCTCTTTGCTTGTCTTTTTTGATTTCTATTTTATTAGCTGTGTTAAATATTTTATGCATTACTCAAATGCTGACAAGTAGGGTTCCCAAACGCCTACCATTCCACACGGTGGTTCTCCAGGAGAAACGTCAGTTTCTGGTCATACCGATAACCTGCTTCCAGTAAGTCGGTCCCTTTCTATCATTGGGGCGTTAGCACTTTTATCTTTTTAAAACTTAAATGTCAATTGAGATTGCCTTGATTTTCCAAAAAAATGATAGAATGGAGGCAGAACAAGTGATGATTCTATGCAACGGCCTACGCCAATATTAGAGAAGAAGAAGATGAAAAACATAAAAAATAAGAGGCTTCTTATGCATAGTGATGAAGCTATGGAGCTTAGAGTCACCTGGGAAGAAGCGCAAGAGTTGTTCCGTCCATGTCCAACTTCCAACCCTACGGTTGTCATGATTGGAGATCATGCATTTGAAGAATTTGAGGTTAATAAAGTTTCATTTAGAAATCTTTTCTTTTCTTCTTTGATATCTGGTTGTTGTTCTCATTTTCTTTAAACTTTGATTAATGCTACACAAGTCTAACTCCAGCTAATTTTAATGTGCTTTAAGTGTTTACTCTATTTTTGTTATTTAGGAACCACCAATTTTTGGAAAGAGGACATATTTTACACCTTCCTTCTCTGGGTAAGGATCACTATAATCTTATTGATGAAGTAACAAATTCTCCAGATTTTATTTGCTAACCAAAATAAGCACATTATATGAAAAGATTAAGAAAAGATGTGCAATTGCACTTTTCCTTAGTTTTCTATAATGTCAAAAATGAGATTTGTCTTAGACAATCAACTAGTTCAAATGTTGTTTTATGATGGTAACATGTACCATTAACCAGCTATGTGTTAGATTATAATATGCCATATAGATCTGAAAATATTTAGTACTCTTTTCAGGGAGCAGGAACAATTGGCTCAATGTGACAGTTGCTCAAAATGGAGAAGGTTGCCTTCGCATGTCCTTCTTTCTGCAAAGTGGACGTGTTCAGAGAATATATGGGACTCAGACAGGTTTACAGATCTTGATTGTTCACTTAATTTATTCTTGGCTTAAACAATGTATTAAGTGAAGATTTTATCGAACAATGCGAAGTTTTTAGGTGAATTAGCTGGACATTTTGCTAGTAATATAACTGTTGAAGCATCAAAGTAATTGAGCTAGAAACACTTGTCAACATCCACAACCTTATGTGCATCTCGGTCTAAGAAAGAAAAAAGTGATAAAATAAAGACGTAAACCTATCTACCCCCTCTCCAGTTCCTCTCCAGAGGAAAATAAAAAGAAATGAAACCAGAGTTAACTTATAAGGTCAGTATTACTTTTGTTTTCAGGCGTTCGTGTGCTGCTCTAGAGGATATAAATCCAAGGGATCTGGATGCTTTCTTTAGAGTTAACAAGGGTATCCACCAGGGTACTGTTTCCTTTGTAGAAACCTTTCTTCTTGTCTCTCGCACATAGCACATGCATGAATGCACCCATGAAGATTAACACAGCGGCACCAAGTGCATGTTTATTACATAGTACTAGGCAGGACTGTACTATATAATTAGCAAAATTTTAGCTTTTTTCTTTCTTGGTACTGTTGAGTGCTAACCAATTCTTCCTACCTTACGAAGGGATTAACTTGGCTTTTACAAAATGTTTATGGGATTTAAGATGATGAGTGATCAGATATTTTAATTCCTTGTCATTGTGAATGCATGTCCTGCTAAATGAAATGTGTTTGTTTAAGGAAAAAGTTGGTTTACATGCCCAATTACTTGCCTAAGAAATGAGGGATCTAGTACAAAATTTACAAGAAATGCTTGAACCTATATCGCTTAACGGGGATCGTCGTTACATTCCTATCACTAGTAGTAATGTTCTCATTTTTGTTGGACCATGTGGATTCTAATCACGCTGTACAAATTTTCCCTCTATTGCTGATTGACCTATTATTAGGTATTTTGGTTTCAGGGGCATATCTAGCTCATGTTTGGTAGAGATTCTTTCAAAACTCCTTTTTTCCCAAACTCATTTTCATTTTTTTTTGCTTAATACTGCTCTCATATTTGAGATTATGGTTTAATCCATAACAAGAAGATGCAATGCCTTTGAGACCTATGTTTCTGTCTATGAAAGCTCGGATAATCTGTAGGGGAACACAATTTCTCTCTTTTCAAGTCCTTGATCCTTCATAGGGTACATAAACATTCATGTCATGCTTCCTACACTTCACATGAATTTAGCAGAATCTGGCATGTGTTGCTAGATAGTTTAAGAATTCTAGCTCATTCTATATGACGAAGCGACAACTAATAGATTAGACTAAGATGCTTAAATTTGAGTTATTCGAGTCACATAGGCCTTGTATCCCACTTCGTCGTCCATTTTAAGTATGTGGAGTGGGTTGCTGCAACATAATTATATATGCTCTACATGGAAGCTTCACTCATTTCTGGAACTGTTCAAATGCATAAGATGAGCTACTTCATTCTTGGTTATTTCTAGTGGAGGTTTAGTGCATATGTTCTTATAGAATCTTCTATTACATTCTTATCATGTAAGTGCATCATGGGTACACAATACTAGATAGGACTAGACTATTTTGTGAACAAAAGTTCGGCTTTCTTTTCTTCCTTGATACTATCCAGTGTTATTCAATATTTGCTACCAAACATGCCATATTAGTTTATTATGGATTGAATAGTTCTGTAGCTACTTTTATCAAGGATTGAGCTTACCATTTCCATGTTAATGCTACAATGAGAACCTGATGTATCTACAACTTGCTTCTGTTTTATTATGCCTTATTGGCCTCTTCAATCAATTTCAGATTTTGATTCAACTTTTCCAACCAATCGACATTCATAAATTTTCTTGAACTTTCTTCGTGTTTAAAAGATTCTAAGAGGCGAAGAATTGCAGATAACAAAGCACCTGAAGATGGGGAGCCTTCTGGCTTAGATGCCTTGGCAACTGCTGCCGTTCTGGGAGACAACATGGGTGAGTTGGGAGAGTCTTCTGTTGGAGTCACTACAAAACATCCTCGGCATCGCCCCGGTTGCTCGTGCATTGTCTGCATTCAACCTCCAAGTGGGAAAGGTAAGCATCAGCCCACATGCAAATGCAATGTTTGCTTGACAGTTAGACGTCGCTTCAAGACACTCATGATGCGTAAGAAAAAGCGACAATCGGAACGGGAAGCCGAGCTTCTTGCCCAGGCCAAGGAAAAGGGTCCCTTAAATGATGATATTGAAAATGAAGAAATTGCTGGACATGCATTGCTGCGTATGATTCAGACAGAAAATGCAGCCGGTACGAGTGGAAATCAACTGGAGTTGGCCGAGACCAACAAAGGACAACTCGACTTGAATTCTGATCCTCATCATGAGGACAATATGCTCGAAGAGGCTGCTGGGATGAGCTTGACGGCCCTAATCAATGCAGCTAGCCTTCCTTTGGATATGTATTTTGGACTGAATGGAGTTGGTCCTGGTTTGCTTCCGCAAGCTGCTGACGAGAGCAATGGATATGGTGAAGCGGGCATCGCATCTGGTAATGAGGCGCAGAAGAAGGGTGAAGATGGGTAATTTGAGAGACCTCTCTTGAGTTGTATAATTTCTGGTGCTATTTTACCTGTTAGACTACAGATTTATATTGTTAATCTATAGATATGCATCCTTTTGTAAACTCAGAATTATCTTTTTGCCCGTTATGTTCACAATCATATAGTTTGTATTATGCACCTTCAAAGTGGAAACAATGGAGTTGATTAAGGGGTTGTTTGATAATGTTTTTGATAAAAGTTTTAGCAAATGTGTGGGAGATTCATTTAAAAGAATATAAAAGAATTACTTTTTACGGAAAAAATTAGGAATGTCTATGAAATATATAATATTTCAGATTTTACAATAAAATAATTTATTTTCAAAAATTACTACACTGCATATTTTAATACTTGTTTCTAGGACTGTAAGTAAAAATCGTCAAATTGAAAAATCGAACAAAAACCACATTTTAGAAACCGTCCGTTTGTTGGTGTCACGTGGACCCGTCAACAAAATGGTTTTGAACCAAACCAAATCGGTCAAAAAGGGTTTGGTTTATGTTTGAGAATTTTAATTGTGGTTTAAAACTAAACTGTACCGGCGAAAAAATATATAAAAATAAAAAAATGAAAATTCAATAATTTTGTCATGTGTGGGTATTTTTGTCAAGTTCTAATTTTCTGTTACATATATACATATATATTATTATTACCCAATAATTCTAATTTATATATAATAATATCAAGATTAACCTAATATATCAAAAGTCATTTTCCTCTTCAGAATTTAGATGAACTTCAGCCGACACCCGACATAACCTTGAGCCACCAGCAGCACCACACCAAATCGGAGACAAAGAGATTCTGAGTCTTCGGTGATAATATTTGCTACGATAAAGTTTCATATCAATAATTTTTTTGAGCAAATTGAGTTAAGAAATCTGAAATTATATGGGTTTCACATTTCTCTCAACTATTGGATGATTGTGAAATAAATTTAGTTACTTTGATGGAAATTGTTTATCTACTATGTACATGATTATATTATATTTGTGTGGACATACTCTTGTTTTGTGACTGAATTAAGCATGTAAAATATGTCAATAGAAGCTAAAAGTGTTCATGTGCAATTTGATATGTGGATGAACTGTTTAATAAGTTAAAAGAAACCAACAATGACTCCAGTGGCAACTATACTTGCATCAATTTAATTGTTGTATTTTATTGTATGTTTATAGATATTTTATTAATCTGTTTCTTTAAGTATTTTGAATTAATAAGGATGATATCTATTCAGTTAACCTATTAAAGTCTTGAATTTTGATCCAGTAGACGTAAAGTTTATTATTCAAGGTGTTGTCTTATTGATGTCTCTATGAAACTATATACTTTCAAATAAATATTTAGTTTACAGGTGTTTTGAGCATTATATTTAGTTTATTAGACTTGTATTGTAACGTTATCGTAATGTCTTAGCCTAACAATAGTGAACAAAAAACTATTATTATGATTTCACTTGGATTTAGTTGGTATTTAAATTTATAGTAGATATATTTAGTTGTTTTAGATTTATTGCTAGTAAGATATAAATATAGATTGAATTCAATGAATTGATGACATAAAAGTAGACAGACATACGACGAAATCGGCGGTTTAAAATCGAACCAAACCGTTAGGTTTAGGTTNAACCGACGGTTTAAAATCGGACCAAACCGTTAGTTTAGGTTTGATTTTTTTCAAGCCGTTCAAAATGGTTTGATTTATGTTTGAGTTTTTCTCAAACCGGTTTAAATGGTTTGATTTGAAAATATGTCAAAAATCGGTAAAATCGGACCGCTTATACCCCTACTTATTTCTACTGTTTAACGAATTTTCCTAAATTGAAAGATGTAACTGACGCTATTGTATGTGCTTAAATCAAGTATGGCATTTACTCACCTGGTGCATTTATAATGATTGAAAAATAATCTTTTAACCATATCATACAATTTTGAAGGTATGATAATTCATACTCATTCAATTGCAATCTACCATCTTTTGAAAACTCCGATCGCCGAGATAATATTCTACATCCTTCACGATAAAGAAAAATGGATTGCATTCTATTGATAGTCTCCTTCTGGTTTTCGGCATCGTATGATACTCATCTTTTGTTTGCTGGATGAAGATTGAACCATGGCCATGGGTAATAATATTCATTGGTTTTACAAGTGAATAACAAGCAATATTTCAAACTCCAGATTTTCTTTTTGTAAATTTAAATATAAAAGTATAACTTGATAATAATTTACAGAAAATTACAACTTTGATTTCACTAATAAATGGTAACAATACAACAAATGTCTTTATATTAGATCCATAGAAGTATTTCTTTTTATTACTCTCTCTCCAATTTTAATTTAAATTCAAAATATAATGAGTGCAGTGTTTTCTCCACGTACAAATATTTAAAAGATAGAGAACTGTTACATGCGCAAAATTTTTGGACATACTTGTTGACATGAATGAGGTGACAGTTTTTTGGCCCTTTGTTTGAATAAATAAAGGGCGGACCATGCTACACTCACAAAATGTTTTACCTAATTTTTGACAAACTGGACACTTGGCGCCCCCCTGTTGGAGGGGCGCCTGCAGCCTCCGACAGGGGGGCCCCAAGTGCCCAGTTTGTAAAACATTAGGTAAAACATTTTGTACATTTAAATTTATCCATAAATAGCAGGGCTAAAAAACTGTCATCTCATATTCTATCAACAATTCTGTAACCCAATTTCTATCAACAATTCCGTTTTCATTTCAAATAGGGCTTAGTAAACTATTAAAATATTCAGCTTATTAAACGCGTGTCGATCTTAAATTTGTTAAGAATAAAACTTAATTTGTTAAGGATAAGTGAATAGTGTCATTTTCCATACATTCATTCACATAAATTAATTATTCACTAAAGTGTATGCTCAATACATATAGTCTGAATTTCATAATACGAAACCATTAACCATTTATTGCAAACTACATTGAACCAGCTGTATGATTCAACCAAGTCTTGAATTATAGGAATAGAAACAACACAAGATAAAGGAGACTATAGCTAGACATTTACATGATCAAGTTTTGTAGCCTTCCCAATTGTACTTGACAGGCACCAAATAAAGGGGCACCTTTTTGCGAATGTTGAGCCCAAACTCGTCTTCCATGTTGATCTCCTCAGGCTTCATCCCATTTGGCAGTTGCCAATCAAAGCAATGCAGTAAATTTGCAATGTTAAACATCACAGAAGTTAAGCCCATTGTCATGCCTGGACAACTTCTTCGACCCGAGCCGAATGGCAAGTAATCAAAATTCTGGCTTTTGAAATCATAGCAGTCTTTGCCCTCAAATCTCTCTGGATAGAAATCTTGAGGGTTTTCCCATATTTTTGGGTCCCTCCCTATAGCCCATACATTGACAAGAACCCTAGTTTTTGGTAAAACGTCGTAGCCACCGATTTTGCATTTCCTTATGGTCTCATGGGGTAACAGCATTGAGGCTGGAGGATGTAATCTTAGTGTCTCTTTCACTACCAGTTTGAAGTACTTGAGCTTTTCAAGTTCTGTTTCTTCTACAAAAGGTTTTCTACCCATGCAATTCCTGATTTCTTCTCGTACCTTTTTCATCACTCCAGGGTTGCGAGCAAGCTCGGCCATTAGCCATACTGATGTACATGAGCTAGTGTCCACCGCTCCAAGAAATATGTCCTGGCATGAAATTATAGCATATTTTGTTAGGGAAAATTGAAACTCTAGTGTACAATATTGAGTTCCATCGAGCACTGCATACCAAACATGTATTTATTGCATTAAAAGTGACGGACATATGAAAATGATATTCTTTGACTTTTGCCTGATGATAGAATTGAATTTGTGTGTATATTTGTTGGTGCTGACATAGCTAAGAACAGGTGAAACTTAATTGCTGATTTTGTACATATGCAGGATGAATACATTGAACAAGGAAAAATTGGATCTGAAAATCAAGAATCCAAAACTCTTAGTTTACAGGTATGGGGTTTTAAGATTTTTCGATGAAGAGAAATCACTATTAATAATGAAAATTTGATGAGAATCGCGTAGGTTGGACAAAAACTCTAGAACACATAAAATTAGGAAGGTTTGGTATACTAGATTAGACGGTGCATAATCCTTTGTAGAACTTAAATAAATTTAATAAAGAAAGGAAAAATTGCATACCACAAGAATTGCCTTAATATGATATTTATTTAGCTTGAGAACAGTTGTACGATCCTGGGCTAATCCGAGCATAACATCAATGATATCATCATTCTCAGGCTTTAGCCTCGACGGATCGAGATGTTCATCGAGTACCTTTTGAAAAAACGCATCGAAATTACGAAAGCATCTCTCAAGTTTCGAATGGAGTCCGGTGATCAAATCGATGATCCAACCTACTGATGATGGGAATAAATCTGATACTGAGAAACCACTGAGCAAAATCATGGAATCAGCAAGTATTTCTTTAATTTGACCATTCTCAAATTGATTACCCTTACGGCTAGTACCAAATGCAACCCTACAAATGACACTGTTTGTAAGATTAAACATGGTGTCATCCATTTGAACTGGACTAGGTGCACCATTCATTATAGTGTCAATCAAGTGCTTAACCTCTTCTTCTCTAATTTTCCAATAAGATTGGACTCTCCTTGAAGTAAGCAGCTCCATAACACACATTTTTCGCATCTCTCTCCAGTACTCGCCATAAGGGCAAAATGCCAAATCCAAGAAATTGTAGGAAATTTTCTTTTGACCCCGGGACATTGGCCTAGTGCAACAATCAAGATCATAGGTTCTCAACACCTCTTTCGCCAGTTCCGGGGACGAGACGACCAGGGTCGGGACTTGGCCTAGTTGCAACAACATGATCGGGCCATAGTTGTGGGATAGCTTCCACAGGGAATAATGAGGGATCTTACCAAATTGATGGAGGTTTCCAATTACAGGAAGCCTTGGGGGGCTTGGAGGAAAATTGTATGCTTTTCCCTTTTGCTTCGAAAGGAGAAGAACATATAGGATTGGAAGGAAAAGCAAAACAATTGCAAAAAGCCATGGAAGGTGTGAGGAGAAATCCATTAATGCTAGTTTTTTTTGGATATGGCAGGAAGAAGTGGTAATGGGAGTGAAAAAATGTATAACGCCTCTCTTATATGATTAATGCTATGTATCTAGTAGAGATGTATCACATACCAGGTGGCAATGGAATACTTGTTAGGTGGCGATGGATCCCCTGATAAATTTAATATACATGCTCCTGACAATTTGAGCCTAAAATTTATTGAATATTTTCTTAATAAAAGATTTAAATATATTAATTAACTCTATATATATTATGCATACAAAAATTAAATATTAACAAATGAAAATTCATCCCTAAAAGTATATATTTATAAATTTAAACTAAAACAAGATGTTAAATTTCATCAAACGGGGGCTTAATTGTTCTTACAATAACTATCTTGCTAATACCACTTATAAACAAAAAAAAAAAAATGTAAATAAAATAAAATCATTTGTAAACAAAATAAGTAAAAAAATTTATGATTAAAATGTAAACTATGTCGAATGAGATTTTTATAAAGTTCAAATTTAGTGGGGATTAAAATAAGATTTTTATTAGATTTTGATAGAAAAATGATGAAATTTGTGGTTTAAAAGTTGTAAAAAAAAAAAGGACGTCCAAGGAAAAGCACAATAAGAAACCCAATTTGAAGGAAAGACTATCAAATTCACACTAACCGGAAAAAAGAAAAAAAAAAGTTAATGTTGTTGTAACAATCTATTTCCTAGCATCCAATTTTTATAAAACAGAAAATTAAAAGGATAATAAGTTACATATCCAGATGCCATCGAAACAACAATATGTTTAAACTAAACAGAAAATCATGTGATACAACGTAAAATACTTAGTTGCTCTCGTCACATCCAAGGAGGCAGGAGAATTGGTAAAAGTAGTTTCAAGTTTTTTTTGCGTTTTATCAATATCTTCAACACTATATGCTTCTTTGTTGCAACGCACATGTAAGAATGATATATTGTGACTATTGCTTCTCGAGGTTTCGTAGCAAGCTTTATCGCTAGTATAATCTGATATAGTCCAACAATTAGTTTTCTATAAGATAGGAAACAAAATAAAAGAGTTCGAACAACTATATAAATGTAAATTGTATGATGTGCAACACCTTCACCTTTCTCAGCATAGAATTATATCATTCATCACGTGAAAACTTAGTGAAAAAAATATATAGGTGAGCTTTGACCATGAAGAAAGTTCTACCAGCATGAACTTGTAAGTCAGTGGCATGAACAGGTCAAACTCGAACTCTACAAAGTCAAATTGAGTAATGAGGAATTGCCAAACCATTTGAACCTTCACCCATTCCAATATAAATGACTAGTCAATCAAATAATAGATAGTAAATGGGCCGGTTTGAAAATAAATGAATTGCTAGAGCCTATCAATGAAATGATAAAATTACTTTAAAATGGTAGAAGTTGACTGTAAAGATCAAGCGAAACCTCGACTGTCTGATAATGACTGATAGTGGGTGGTTCAATGCAATACTTATTTCTTACTCGTCCAGAGGCATCTTTCTCGTCCATTGATTGTCATATTTTATGAACCACCCACTACCTCTTATTGGTCTATTGTTAGGCATATTGTAACATATTAAACCTCAAAATCAAGTTCTCAACCACAAATCACAATAGTTAAATGTGTAAAATCTATACACAAAGTATACTTGACATCAAGCACAGATATACAAAGATTATGGCCAATTTTCTCCACATTTCATCCAAAAACAACCATCAACCACATTGCCTAGTCTCCTTCGCAGCACGAGGAAATTCAACCTTTGGAACCACGAAAAAACCAAGATTTTCATTCACAGAATTGCAGAAGAACAAGCACTCATACAGAGAATGAGTGCCTAATAAGTTTCTGCGTGTGAAACTCATTGTATGCTCATTATTTGTTGTGCTGCTATTTGCTTCTATAGTTGTTGAATGTTTTATTGTTGAAATCTTAGGTTAAAATATTTTTTCTCGAACCTCGCATGTTCTACTTTTCCCTTGACTTGAGAACTCTATTCTCGCTAAATCCTAGGATTATAGGACAGATCACACACATATATATAAAGGAAGGACAATTATTTCTAAAGAAGACAAACAAGTGGCGGACAACAAATGGGAGACAAATTCAATCAATCAACTGTTCAAGAT